ATATAATGAAGTGTATCCGTTACGAAAAAGAGAGAGACGACTGTATAAATAAGGAAATGCCACAAAATGTGAAAAGACGCAATTGGGGCTAGATTCATGATGTGAGATGGTGAGATGTAGATCAGACGGCTGATGTTGGCGAGCGGGAGGGAGGTGAGTATCTAGCAGGCTTTTGAAGGAAAGTAACCATCGATGGTGGGTGAGATTGCGATTCCTGTATAAAATGCTTACCCTATTTAATGCATAGGGTAGCATTTTATATATATATATAGATAGATATATATATATAGAGAGAGAGAGAGAGAGAGAGATTTATAGTGTTTTAAGATTTCCATGCATTTGATTAATCCTTCTTACGAAACGGTGACGTTTAATCGGTTTAAATTCTTATCATGGAGCTGACTCAACTGAGTCCCTTTGATCATGACTCGCAGACGTTTCTTTGGAATCCAAACCGACCGTCTCTTCCCCACAACGGTCATTAACTGCCTCTGGCGCCTTTCCTCTTCTCCGTATAAAATCCTCAAAATTTCTTCCGACAAGCCTCTCAATCAGAATTGCCTCTATCTCAAGCGCCTGCATACTTTTGTGGGTGCTTGAGACAACCGGCGCCTCTACTCCCTCGGGTGGCGGTTGTCTGCCCTCGCCACCACCACCACCCTAAGAAAACAGAGTCCCATCTTCTCTACTGCTATTCTTTGGCGGATCCACAAACCGTTCTTCCATATCACGACCCTTTTTGAAGCCCAATATTCCGAAGATGTTTTCTGTATCCTGGACAATAGGAATCCCACCCTTTGAAGGTTTGTCAATTCAGGAACCATTTCCGGACCCCACTTCAATTCCTCAACAGGGTACAGGAATTGGGAGTTCTAATTATCCTTTTGAGTATGGCGGTATTCGGGATATGAAGAATGATCCCAACACCGGAAATTCTCAAGCCGGACCTTCCGATATTCATGTAGAATCAAGCCATGGAAATCAAACTAATTACTTTCACGCTGGAAGTTCAAATTATGAGGATTCTATACTTCTTTCTGAATGGCCCCCAACACCGATCCCCTTTGGTTGTAGTTGCTCCCAAGTCCTCCGAGAAATAATTCATACAAATGGTATGTTCAATGTTAAAAAAAGAAAAAAAATATGTATATGTTATAATTTGGGTTTAGTATTGTTTCGATTTTTTTTTATTTGATTACTTTGTTTATACAGGCAACGAATTTACAACCCTTGAAATACATGGCAGATTGGGGATGATCTCTCATGCTGTTCTCGAAGTTCAACTAATTATGGAGACGCTTTCTCCAGCTATCACCATCAAATGTTTGAGTAAGTTTGCTCATTTTTGTAAGAGTAATGTAAGTTTTATTTAACTGAATTTAACCAGTCTTTTTTTTTTTTTTCCTCTTTTTTTTGTTAGTTTTTGCAAGAAAACCCTGGAGGAAGTGAAACAATTTTTGGTTCAATACTGTCTGGAGAGAAGGCAAGCAGGATTCTTTGTTATAAGTGATCCATTTTCAGTCTTCTACGAAGACTTATGTGTTGGATTCTTTTGGGCTGAAAACCAGTACTGTGAAGAGTTCAACCCACCACCTTCCTCGAATTCAGGTATGGAATGGTTAATTTCTTTAGAGTTCGGTTTGAAAAATGTGAACAATTTTCATGGAGGTGATTCTATTTTTGCAGAGGAACTTCAAGGGAACAACAAAGCAGGCAATGATAATGAGCAACTAAGGGTCCCTAAGACCAATCTATCCGAGCAGGTACAATGTTGCCACTTTCCTTAACGAGACATCAAACGCTTTAATTTTGTTTCACTATCTAATATTTTCCTTAATACAGCGACAAAGGACTGGAAAAATCACACTGAAGGAAATAGGAAACTATTTTCATCTTCCTATTGAAGAGGCAGCGAAGAAGATGAGGTTATGCCCTACCGTGGTGAAGAAGATATGCCGCAGAGATGGTCTGGCTAGATGGCCTCACAGAAAGGTTTGTCACCTTACTGTGTTGTGCAATATACATATATACTTCTTCTTAATTTATTACATTAACATGTTCTAATTAATTAAGTTGTTCCTGCTGCATCCACAGATTAAAAGCATGGAGAGGCAAATATCATATTGGGCTGGACTTTTAAGTTCAAATGATCCGCAGGAAAGTGCTCGAGCACAGAATGAGATCCTTAGACTTCAACACGAAATCGAGAATATTTGTCAAGGAGCAGTAGGTAGTAGATGATGGTGATAAAGGGTGTTCCTAAGTGTTCTTTTTATTAATTAAGGGTTTTCCTAAGTGTTATGTATATATATATATTTGGGTGTTGATTTGTAATGATCTTGGAAACTATATTCTTATAATTGATAAAATCGTTTTCTTTTTTTTTCTTTTTTTCTTTTTTTTTTAAGTATGATTCATGAGGCCAATTCCTGGGGTCGCTAAGTTTTTCTGGAAATGATGCCAGAACCAGGAGAAACAGGGTTTGGAATGGACATCAAACGGACAGGTCGTAATACAGAGGGCCGGACCCAAATAGGGTCCAGGTTGGTATTTCCCATTGCTTCGGTTTGTTCTTTGCATCCAAAAAAATTCTTGGTTCAATGGGCCTTGTTTCCGTTGGACCTTTGATAATTTGGTCAAT